AATCTTATCATAAGGCCTTCCCTTCCCTCTGATTCATTTTAGGACTGCTGACTTGAATCCAAAATGCCTCAAGGGTTTTCCGTGCAGATGTTTCTGATTCTTGAGCCAAGACCTTAACTGTGACTTCAAAGTCATCCCCATCATGAATTTGAACCCTGTGGGCTCCTAAAGCAGTTGATGATCGTGACCTATTCTTGCCCTCTATGTGCTCTCTTATACGTACACAGAGCGTCTAATTTAGCGAATTTAGCGTTAAATTTTTAAAGAGTGTTCCAGAACTTTCTTTCCAACCTAACATATAGTAAGATGTGGCGCCTTGAAGAGGGTTGAAGCGATATCGACCCAAATGCTGCTTTTCTTCGCTTCATCCAGGGTGACGACCTGTTGCTACTGGGGAGAATCTAACGTTGGAGTAGCGTCTGCAGCGTGAAATATGCTAGTACTTCAGAAAGTTTCTGTTCCCCCGCTTTTTGGACGGAAACCTTTCACTTTTCGTTGTAGCGCTGTGGTTTACCCTCTAAAGTGTTCATTCCTGTCTTACCTCTCCGTTGTCAACGTGATCTGTTGATACTTATGCTCACGAAATTGCCACTATTACTAAAATTGCCATCGTCGTGCACTTCAGTACAAGCATGGCACATGCCTGATTACAAACTGTTCCCTTCTCAGAGTTGTGTTAGCCCCGAAAACTGTAAATTGGAAATTTAAAGACTCACTGATTTGTACTTTCTTCAAAACGCGGGTGAACACTATGTAACAGATTACAATCAATATATCAATCACTGCAATAGACATCATACACACAGTGTAAATGTTGCCGGTCAAAGGAGCAGTGATGACGCAGAAAACTCTTCTAAACACAAACTCGTTGGGAGAGCTTGTAACTTCCTTCTTGCATAGAGCAAATGGATAAATAAGGTAACACAAGATGTTTTTTCATGGTTTTCGGCCCACATGTATATTTTAAACACTATTTTCATTCAATTCCATTATGAGCATTTAGTGAACCAGCATTTATCATCACAAGGCAATGACATGAAAGTACTCATGTGCTTTTTTTATGCCATAATAAGTGCTTATCGAAAAAAATTTTATGACGCTCTAAAGAACAAGGTGATTTCCATTAAAAACGTTCTCTAGTGAAGGTGAATCACTGATGCGCGGCCTGTTCTGTGCAGCGTGAGGCCTAAGCATAATGACAAGATTTGAACATCAGGATACGCCACATGGAGCAGGGTTCTTGACTAGATTTTCGATTCGTCATAGTCTGTTACATACTATGCTATGCTTTTACGTTTTCATTGCCTTTTTATTTGGTAAATAGTTCTACGTCATCCAAAACCACAGTGTGGCGGCGCGCCACTGAACGAACGCATTGCGAGACCTGTTGTAACTAAAGGATGTGCATCATTTGTGCTCCGTGCGACTATGAAGTGAGCGACACTCGATGATTTCTTTCGTTGAAGGTCTCAATTATCGGAAACGCAGAAAGACCAGTGGGTCGTGACTTATCGCAAAAGTTGTATCAAATTGCGACTTCAGGGTGAGATTTAACAAAAATGAAACAGCATTCAAAATTAGATTAGGCTGCGAGTCGTGAATAACAAGTATATAATAAAAATCTCAGATGGACAGACCTTTCCCGATGCGCATAGGGGAAAAGAATCTAAAAATTTGAAGCGCTTCAGGCGCGTACTAGGAGTACAGAATATATGGAGGTCAGAAGAAATTTCTTTGATTTTCTCGCGTAGATAATACGTTTTCGTGAGAAACTTAGCAATAACTTCAGGGACTTCCAGGAAAACTAGCAGGACAGGAACGACGCAAACTGTTACAGAAAAAAAGCGAGGTAAGGATCTATCCCTTTAGGGTCCGTTTACGCGTGACAAGTTCTTGAGCAGCCTTAAGTTAATATGAATTCATAACCATCGTCTGTTGAGATATGGTTGAGCTGTGCTACAGTTGATAACCCGTTTCGAGCATTTAGCTTCGAACTGGATCACATTCATTCTGACATCACTTGATGCCGTGTCTTATTCTGTGGTGTGGCTCGGAAAAGCCTGCCTGTAGTCTAGAGTACCTCGGCTTGCTGAACCCCCTATTTCACACACATAGGGCTAGTTCTAGCCTTCCTTCTCGCCTCGACCAATGACATATAGCGCATATACCGGAGGCCTCAGGGTGACACTTACGTGGACCATTTCATGAATGAATTTCAGTTGTATCAACACGTGCCGTAGATTTGAGAATGTGATTACATATCAGTTGCGACTGATCCCTGGAGTAGCACTCATTCTAACAAGTTGAGTGACGCTCATGAAAAACGGATCCCAGCGATCAGTCACCAAAAGCAAAGACACCTGTTGGCCGAGCTATCGGTGACCGATCGTGTGCTTTTAATCCAACTTGGAAGCCTGAGATACCACACAAAATGTCAAGATTGTTTCTGGAAAATTTCTTCACAATAAGTCTTAGGAGGAGCGGGTATCAACAAAAAGTTGATCTTATAGATTCACACAATGCTAATGTATTAAAATCGGTAAGCTTATAGGAATCGATCACACAACTTTCTCCACAAAAGGAATTTCCTTCAAGCAAAAATGTAGGCTCTTGGAATCACTTACTTGGCTGCAGTGCTCCTTATTAATGTCCAAGCCCCAACAAGTGAAATATATACAAGCACAACTGTGATTTGTGCAATCGTGTAAGCAACTCTGTACTTTTTGGCGAGCAGCAAACTGAAACTACATAAATTTATTTTACGTGTTTACTTTTACGAAGAATATTACTCCTCTAATAGACACAAACTCGGATAACAAATACATTCTTTCTCAAGAGGAAGGCCACGGTTTGGAACAAAAGAGCCGGCAGCTGTGATGCAGTCAAAACGCGTTAAGGGTTCTTTGGTCTCGTGGGACAGATACAATTTTGCGGGCAACTCCCTTCATCGTGTTATCTGTTTTCAATTCTTCAGAAATCCAGCCAAACGGCTTCTAATACCCGATTTAGCTGGATTCGTAAAGAATGCAAAACAGTGATTACGATAAAGGACCGATCCTACGACGTTTTGACTGTGAGTCTCGACCACTACCGTTGCGCTGTTTTGCTTCATAACTCCGTTCAGAGAATCGTTTAGCAGATTTGGAAGGTAGATTTGAGATCAGCGTTCGAAGGCACATCTACGCGTATACATCTCTTCTTGAATGGCCATGGCAACCTGGAAGCCTTTCCTTGTTAGCTCGTTTAGCAGTGGAACGAAGAGTTTGCTCCATAGAGACCTTACTCACTTTTCCTACTCTTCTTTTATTTACTTGCTTATGGTAATAAAGCAAAAGAGGAAAATGAACAAAGGGAAACGACAGGAACGGAAAACCTCAGCTATACGAAGGAATATTCGGCCATATTACGAATGACGTCGTTTATAATTGCGCTATGGTGTGATCTATAGAATGAATGCAAATTACTTAGGAAAATGAGCGCGGAAAAGGAGAGGCTGCGACGCGTCGCGCGTCGCAGTGTCCTATGTGGCGAGGAAACGGAGAGGCACAATCGCGTCACAGTCTCGTCAAGGTGTTGACTGATTACTCTTGCGCCGACTCTGAATTGTTGTTTTAAGTTTAATAGCACAACGCGCTCGGCACCTTTACTCCAATCTCTCAAATCTTTGTGAACCTTGATTTTGAATGGTATGATAGAGCCAATCACATATTTTCATCTGTGATTAGCTCTATCATAGCACTGTTCATCGAGTCACACTGCATTGAGCGGTTCCATTATAACTGCTCCGACGACGGGGTGCTATACCTACAAAATTAGATTCAATGGCTTAAGCTTTGCCCGTCGGAAGCAGATTGGATAATTTTAGCTTGTTCGGTGGTCACAAACGCGCAAATGTACCTGCTAATCTTGTCAAATAAATTTGCACAAGACTCACTAGATTTTTCGCAACGACATCAGTCTGTCTACGGCCAAATCATAGCGCAAACAGTGGAAGACAAAAAAGCCAAGATGGGGAGAAGTGTAAGGAGCGCAAATATCTTGCGTCAGCAGAATGACGATCCTAAAAAACAGTTGGTTCGAATAATTGCCAAATGTGAAATGAAATAGCAAAAATTGCAAGAACAAGCTGGCGAAAGCAGCTCCTCGCTCCAAGGTATGTACACTATCAACTAGCACCTTCCAATCTGATCCAGATATTTCTAAAAATTTTCGGATTTTTTAAAACAACAGTTTCATGCACTTGCGCTCTGAGCTCCACAGATTTGTCTTCTGTGGTCCCCTTTGTTGTTGCCTTTTGCGAGTATGATTCTTAACTTGTGTCGGACTTCTTGGATACATTTCGATGATACAATGTTACGATTGTCAGTTTGTGGTTGTACAAAGATCGTTCACCGAGTGAGCCATTTTGAGTGCAACCTATCGTTGTCGAAGATGAAATAAAGCACGAAGCCAGTACGCAGGGCTTCACCGGTTGATGTGCAGTTCTCGATACGACCAACATGAAACGTCAGGAGACTTCGGTAGAGTGGAGGATTGGTTAAGAACGCATATAGGAAGCACGAATTGCTATCGTCAATGGCCCACATAATTTTTGAACACCACAATTATGATTAGAGGACACATAAGAGAAGGGCTAGAGATGTTGGAGTGTATGTGAAAGCTGTTTCGCGCGCAGATCCTTTTGAAAGTGGGCCTAACGTTCAGGAGATTTCTCGATTCATTAAGTGAACGAAGGGTAAGATTGGCTGTGCTCTACGAATAGTTGTGAAGTGTATAGAATTAAGGGTTTGATTCCTGCTGATAACAGTGCACATTCCATGTCGTAGGAGATCAGATAATTGTCATCATTTTTCTAGTTCATTGTGCAGGGCAAAAGAGGTGCGACGTGGGAGGAGATGTCATATTTTATTGTTTGAGCATGGCTCAACGCGTCGTAGGGGGGGAGGATAAGTGAATTGTGATGTAAATTATTCTTGAGTCGTTTCACTCGAGTTTTTTGGCGCGAGCATATTTTCGTTGGCTTCAAATTATGTTCTACTACCTTATTTCAACTACGGAGCAGTATATTACGAGGACTGTCAACAGTTAGTATGCAAGTTCGCATCGGCACCGCGCGTTCGTTCAGGGAATTTAACTCGTGTGTTAGGAGTCGTATTGGGCCATGATAGGATGAGGATCTGTAATGTGTGCTGGGGGTTAGGAGACATTTTGAGCAAGTTCGGTTGTTCTGTTTTCGTAGATTGGAGGTTGGAGGTAGCGTGTTAGAGTATGAAATATACTTTTGATGTTCTTTTATAGGTTGGTGCGTCTCACTACAAGCTATCCGAATTATAAATAAAATCAATGAGAATTTTCGACGGGATGAGGTGTAAGAATTTGAGAGTGCGGATAGTTCTCATGGTGAAAAAGTAGCTTAGGCAGCAATCTTCTTCTTCTTCTCCCTAGCGTAGACAAAGACAGCGGGTCTTTGTCAGTCGTCGCCACCTTAATCTGTTCAGGGCGCGTACTCTGCTGTGTGGCGATGACTTCACTCAGATCCTTCTTGATCACGTCTCCCCAGCTCTTTTTGGAGCTCGCGGTCGTTTGCCTTGCACTTCTACGTCCATCGCGTTCCTTATTGGACGATCCTGTGTGGCTTCAGCTTCATTTAGGTACGAGGTGCCCATGGAACATCTGATGTTGTGGTGTCTTTCGCGCTAGTTGGTCTGGACAGGGGCGTAGTGCTTTGTGACCGGTATATCTATTGCGCTCGGTTCTTTGAGTGCGCTAGCCTGCGTCGCAGCCGCAGGAGTCGCATAGCTCACGATCAGATTCTTTGCTTTGTGGCCAGAGTTTAGTCTTGCGTTCTGGTCTATATGTGGCAGGGGCCATAGATTAGCTGCACATATTGAGATTGAGAGGTGTCATGCACTGTCTGGTTACGAGCCTTCTAGGCTGTCTAAGCGTGTCTGGTGAGCACCGTCTATTCGGTGCGGTGGATCCAGTGGGTTCTTCGCTCAGCTCATCCGGCCGTTGATTCGTGCCGTTCAGTGCTGCTTGTCACACTCGAAGGCCGAGGGTAGATCGCTCGGGTTGGGTGCTTGAAAGTTCTTCCCTATCTTTTGCGTTGGTTCTTCTAGACTGGGCGTCGTACGGTTGGCGCGGGATCCCTCTCAAGTTTCTTAGAACTTGGTGTATGTCGATCTTGCGGCATTTCAGCTCCGGTAGCTAGCGTTCTTCAGACTTTTCTTTGCGTTTTCGTTGCACTGAATTACGCTTAGGGTGATAGTGGAGGAGCACTTTTCTCTATCCCTTTCCATCACTTGCCAGGCGATAAAGATGGCATCAGTTGTGGATCTTTCGGACATGAACCCAAAGTGGTTCGGGGGTACGAGCAGCTTCCTCAGGTTTGCTATCGTCCAGCATTCGTTCCTAGCTTTCGCTGTAGCGCGTCGTCTTATCGCCTGTGGTCTAGGCGAGTCATTCTGCTGTCGCCCTTGTCTCTTAGTTAAGTAGGACGACGGCACTGCTTTTAGCCACTTCGTGTAGCACCACCCGTCTGCCGCTTTTCAATTAGTTTGTATTATTGGCACGCCATCTAGAGCATTTTCGTTTGCACTTACTCTCGTCGAATCGCCATACCCTAACTTCATTCTCATCTCTTGAGTGCGAGTGGGATCCAAGCTGGTGGACCTCTGTTGGGGGGTGGGGGTGGTCGGGGGGCGGATGACTCTGGGGTCTGTGAGTGGGAGCGTCCGCGATTAAAGCTCCCTTGAGTTAATGCTTCGGCGGGCGGACGGACTTTGGTGTGGGGGGGGGTCGTCGCGGGTGTTGCGACGCGGCGTAATCCGGCGAATCGCGCGGCGGGCTGCGCGGCGATCCGGACGAGGCAAGTCTTCGCGGGCTCCTGCAGTGGAATTCAACACGTCAGAACGTGTGCAGATCGCGGATAGAATCCACAAGGTTCTGCTTTGAAAGAAACTTCCCACTCGCGGAGATCGGTGAAATGCAGCGGTGTCAGTGAGAAGATTACAGCGAAAGGAGATGAAAGAGAGAAACTTCATAGAAATGTCACTATTATCATATTATAAATATGAATAAGAAGCACTAAAAATGGAGTCATTTAGTGAGATGTTATTTATTGTCAACTCTATATCTTTGCTAATCGCGGCGCTCCTGTCCTTGGGGAGAACTTTCAAAACAGGGCCAATGGAAGGTGACACTAGAACTAAGCTCATGAGAAGGGAAATACGCTCGGGAGAACAGAAATTGCTCACATCCTCCACGAGAAACTCTTCCCCTCAGGCTTAGTCCCGAAAATTTGAATCTCTCCGCTCATGGGATTTCCCCCCCCCCTTAACAACAAGCGCCAGCAACCTAAGCGCCCTGATTGCTATAACAGCCTTTTGCTATTCCTTTTCTTCTCTTCCTGCCGCTGCCTTTGAATATCCACGCGTTGGAATGTAATTCGAATCGCAGAACCTTGTGGATTCTATCCGCGATCTGCACACGTTCTGACGTGTTGGATTCCACCGCAGCCCGCGAAGACTTGCCTCGTCCGGATCGCCGCGCAGCCCGCCGCGCGATTCGCCGCGTGCAACCCCATTTCCCGCATCCATTCTTTCCACCTTCTCTTAACTTCGGATTGGCTTCCTTAGGATGACACCATCGCTGCCTTTCACACTTTTCACCACCTCTGATGTCTTGGGTAGCACGATGCCGGGCCTTAGCCACAACACGGACAGACAGCGCTCAAATGAAAGATTAGAATGAAACACTTTCTGTGGAAATTTCCTTCTTAGACCACGTCAACTGCTGGAAAGGAGCTCATCACCTGCTATTCTGGTGGATCTCGTTGCTAATGGAGAGACCTTCGTCATGACCCGCAGAATCAATTGTCTGGGGTGGTTTCAAAGGGAGGGGAAAATTGGAGATCGCCTTGCCATCATGTCAGGTAGACAATTAGGATTATAATGAGGTGCTTGTATCCCGACTACAACCTTTTTTCGAGAAACCAGCGCCTCAAAATACCTGTTTTATAGCGAGCCCAAGGGGAGGTCAGCGACGCGTATTCCATTTGGAAAAATGCTAAACGCAACAGCTTTGGTTGAGAGGTCGACTATATCGAAAACGTAGAGGTATCGTGGTTTCGCGGTCTCTACGTCATTGAACAAAAGAGTAATATCACAAGTGACCTAACACGTCGGTGAAATTTGCTAGTTGGGAACAGATCTGCAAGACATGTATCCAGACCCGGTTCATAGCATGCCAAACAGAATGGCTCAACTTACTAGAACTTTGGTAGGCCTACCGATTTCAGATTCTGAAGATATTGCCGTTTTTCAAAAGTGTCCACATACTTTTGATATAGGCCAAGGTTTTTCAACAAGGTTCTTCCATCAAGGGACTGAGGGACTCTAGGGAGGGACTCTAAGGTTTTCGCATACGAGAAATCGATGGTAGCGGTCGCATGATGCAGAAATCAACAGTTTTACGAATGAGAAATGTTAGGGTGTCCACATACTTTTGCTACGCACTGTATTAACTTTCCGAATCTGCAGATACAAAGGAAGTTATAGCTTGGGAAAGTGTAAAACTCACATTCATCCAGAATCGTTCTCGTCAATCTACCCAATGGTTGTTTAGCTTTAGTTTTCATAACTTCAATCCTGTTTAGCAGGAGCATGCCAAAGAGCTTCCAATTCTGCGTCTGGATCGACAGTTCGTCCACTTTAAGAAAGTTGTAGTCACTTGAATATGTGTTCTTATTTCAATGTTCCTCTTCTTAGTAGATAGGCCGCTTCAAAGTCAACACGCAAGATCAATGAACACCTAGTATTTTTTCTTTCCTGAAGGGTCAATAGTCAATGATATTTGTGATTTCCGTTGAACGCTTTTATGGTGGAGTGCGGACTTATGAGGCAGTGTTTTAGAATAATGATTTCAGAGGAGGTTAAACAACTTTTTACGCTTTGACCTGTGAAGAGTCATTTTATGGACTCTGCATCTGGGGAGGGGGAGGGAAAGAGAAGGGAGGGTCTGGTATTTCAAATCCCCTCAACGGCTCGCTTAGGCCGATGTCAGACTTTGCGAATCGCGCGATTCGCTACTAGCGATTCGCGCGATTCGCTAGCGTCCGCGGTCGCGTTGCGGTACCAGCCAATTGAGTGATTCACTGGCCGCGACGCGACCGCAGACGCTAGCGAATCGCGCGATTCGCAAAGTCTGACATCGGCCTTAGCATGCACTCGTGTTTTAAAAGGTGAAGCCAGAAATTGGTAGAAGTTGTAAAATCAATTTTTTCAAACATACATATTATGTGAGACTACCATAACATAGTGCCCGCATGCATGAAGAAT